GAAAATTTCCTTTCCGAGTGCTGTTCTCAAATCTCGGAGGATCCTCTAAGGACCCCTGTGGTATTTCATTAAATTAGTTTGTGTATTCAAATTGGAGATGTGGCCTTTTTTCCAGCTTGCCTTGACCCAGCAACCGATAGAGTCAATATCCTTCACAACTCGACTGGAAAACAGGATAAGCTTAGTAAGAATGATAAAGTGTATTTAATGTACTGTTAACCTGGAAACATGTTTGAGGATTGGAGTATGCCTGCCCATGCCTGATCGTTAGTGAAAATAAAAAGGGTGGTGTAGGAGGTGCAATCCTTCAGATGAGATGTTAAACTGAGGTCCTGACTCAATAAAGATCCCCTGGCATTGTTCAAAAGGCCTCAACCCTGAAACCCAGGTGTGCTGGCTAAATTATTCTGGTCTCCCTGAAGTTTCCTCCTTGATTCATTTGGTGAGGCAGTTTCTCACTCCTCCACCTGATCTGCTGTGCAGTGGGGCTGCTGGTGCAGAATGGCCCGGCTGGGGGCTGCACTGCGGTGGTGATGAAATGGGTCCAGTCTCTCTCCGAGCAGCAGTAATTACAGCAGCTCTTCCTGGAGGGGCTCCTGTTCATTCGTCCTGTGCCTCAGTGCGCCGGTCTGTGACAGGATGCCAATTTGTCACGGCCAGCGCGTCTCGGCTAGAGATGGTTTAGATTACTCAGGCTTTGCTGTGTGCGTTTGCTGTAAGATCCCGTAGCCTCCTGAGGACTGGAGCTGCAGACCACTGGGGCGTGGCGTTCTTCTGGCAGCTGGGAACAAGCTGACCAGTTTAGGGGCTTCAGATTTTCTCATGTTCTTGGAAAAACAGGCTGGGGAAAAAAGTGCAGTGGGAATGGGCTAGCCTGATGTTCCCTACGGTCCTCTACGTTGTAATGGCTCTCCGCTTCTCATTGGCTGGGTATCTTCCCAGGACGCTGGGATTGAATTCCACTCTGCTCGCTGCAGGCTGACTCTGCTGATGTCCTTGACTTCGGCGTGCCAGCGCTTGGCACTGCCCGGGGGGGGGTGCCATCTGCTGGGTGCTCATCTTGGCTTCCTTATAGAACTTCGCCGGGCTCCTCACAAGCTTGCGATTGCACCCTTGCTTGCACCAGGTGTACCGTGCCTGAACTTCCAATTAGCGCTGCTGCGGGTGACCAGAAGACCATGCCAGTCTGGCCTGCACACTCCCGAGTCCAGAGGCAGGGAGCTTGGCACAGCTTTCCTGCTTTGGCAGCAGTTGTACAGGACTTCAGTCTATGCCGGTTATGAAAAGCTGTGCTTCCTACCACCTCGTTTTCCTCTGAAGCTTCTGGTAAGCTTGATAACATATCGGGAGTTTTCCCTCTGTCCTACTTTCAGGCTAGACTGGTTATACCGTTACTTGATCAGCTTTCAAACACCCCTCTCCCGCAGACCTGATGATCTCTGTAGTGAGAGACAGCTCAGTTTTCTCCCATCCCTCCGTCGCAGTGCCAGCGAACAGTGCTTTTGTGTTCACTCAGATCGCAATACTCCAGCTGAAGCGAGCGTCTCTCGGTGCTTCGCAGGCGAGCCACGCCGGATCAAAATAGGCAGCTTTCCTGTAGCGGTACTGGGCATGTGAGAAAGCACATCACAGCAAGCAGGTGGCAGTCTGGACTTGGGTATTGCGCAGGGACTGACACAGATGCTCATCCCCCAAGGGGTGGAGGAAAACGGTGATTGTATAAAATAGATGGGTCAAATTGCCTTCTTTAGTTTGTTACCTTTCTTCTTCATTTGGTTTCTAAATACTGTTTTGTGGGGCTGATTTAGCTTCGATATAGACTGCACTGTTGACAGTACAAAAAGGCAAAAAGATTTTATTCACATTTCCTGAGAGGACTTGGCATCGTTTTTTTTCTGGTTTGCTCTGGCATGAACCCCCAACCCTTCATCTGCAAACCCGTCTTTTGTCTACTGTTGGGGAGTGATGTTCCTCCTCACTGGCCTGGGACCCCGTCGGACTCGGCGAACCATCCCCGCCCACCCCGTGTCTCGGATATCCGGGGTGTCGGGTATCCGGGTGTTGACGGCTATCCACACTGCAGGCCCTGGGCTCTCCCCCTGTCCCTGTCAGCACGCTCTGCGGGAACATTATTCTGCCGCTCACACGCAGTCATTCCGCCTCATCCAGAGATCCAGCTGCTGATTACACTGTATTGATCCCAGGCCTCCTGCTGGGTCTCTTCCCGGAGCTCGGTGTGACAGTCAGCGCCTAGCTAACAGCCAGCTAACAGGGTGATCTTCCAAGCCATTTGTCTCTAGGGCTCTTGCTCTCTGAAATTAATTTCAAAGCCTTACACTGCAAGGGGATGGGATGTGAATTGGTCTTTTTTTTGTTACACTGCTTTTGGGAAAATGAGCCGGAGGTGAAAATGAGCCACCACTACAGACGTTTTGCCAGCTGTCTTTTACTCAGGCTCCTCCCAGACTGAGAACGAATTCCAAAAACCCAGCTAAAGCAGACTTAGATATCTATCCATCGTTCCAACTGGTTTATCAGGACGCCAGCCCATCGCAGGTCACACAGATACAAACACGCACACTCGCACTTGGACCAATTTTCAGAGAAGCCTATTAACTTACCAGTATGAACTACCAGTATGAACTTACCAGACACCTGAAGAAGGCTCCACACCCGAAAGGTTGTGTCTCTTTTCTTTTCATTTCAGCATGGAATAAACTTTTACCTGTTCCTTTGCAGCCTTCGCATGCTGACATAGCTACCTACTTGAACTTACCTCAGATAGGTAAGATGGCAACCTCAGGAACTGATCCCAGGGCCCCAGCTCTGCAAGGCAGCAATGCTAACCACTGCGCCACTATGCCACCTCCTATGCCAAACTAATTTGCCACATAAAAACTAAATAAGCTTTGATTTCTAAAAATGATACGCACTGTTGTAAAAATGTCTCAGAGACTGTCAGATGTAACAGGTGTTTCCTAGTGTAACTCTTGACTATTCTCGGTACAGCTTAGATTGAATTCTCACTCAATCAAACCATGCTTGTCATTTAGCATCTGTAATTCACATCAATCAGAATCTTCAAAAACCGTGATCCCCGCAGCTCGAGGTGAACTGTCCAAGAGCACCCAACATGAAGTGATATCACAGCTGATCCGTCATGCTTCCCAATTGATTGACTCGTTGCCAGCTGACCCTCATCACTAACATCACCCGTTCCCTCTCCACACATCTAGAAATCTTGTTTGCAATTACATCATCTGTCTGATGTAATTGGCAGTTTCGGTCATTTTGTTTTAAATGCTGGCAGATGGCCAAAGATTACTTTCGTCTTAATCAAGGAAGAAAATGTAGCGATAAGAGCAGAACAAAGCAAAGAGTCTAAGAATTTTGCACAGCAAATATTCATACCGTACGAGTTCCATCAAGTAGTTCACTATATTAAGTCTACCTATTATTTGTTTATTATATTATGATATACTGTATACACCATTGCTGTCCTTATGTTGTAACAATTACTGGATCTGGTGGTGTTGGTTTTTTAAATGGTCTAATGGACACGATGGTGGTGTTAAACTTAAGCTCCTTCCAGTCATTAATTTTTAAAATAGTTTGATCTTTCAGCCTAATTTTTTCCTGAGTGTGGGAGATGTTGAGGGCCGGTCCCTTCAGTTTGGAGTGACTGGAATGATGGACCATCGTAATCATTGATCCTCACAGGGCTGCTGCGAAGCAATAGCTTTGAATCATCTCTACGAGGACGTGGTGCACATGTTTTCTCTTGAAATTGAATCTGTCTCTGGCGTCTACTTAAGGTGAAGGGAGGCCTGGTAATAACCTTCGGATGAGACGTAAAACCGAGGTCCTGACTCTCTGTGGTCATTAAAAATCCCAGGGTGTTTCTCGAAAGGAGTAGGGGTTTAACCCCGGCGTCCTGGCTAAATTTCCCATTGGCCCTTAACAATCATGGCTTCCTTATAATCCCCATCTATGAATTGGCTACATTACTCTGCTCTCCTCCCCACTAATAACTGATGTGTGATGATTGTTCTGGCGCACTATGGCTGCCGTCAAATCATCCAGGTGGGGCTGCACATTGGTGGTTGTGGAGAGGAGTCCCCATTACCTGTAAAGCGCTTTGAGTGTCCAGAAAAGCGCTATATAAGTGTAAGCAGTTATTATAATTATAACTGTGGTTTCCGAGCACTGGGACTCTGAGTGCTCTTGGGTATAGACAGACTCGCTGTGTGTTATTGTGTGTTATTACTCAGCCCTTCTTCCCGAGCGGAACCCTTGTTCATTGGCATTGGGAATTCCCAGCTGCTCCACTGGCTGTGTGCAGCTGGGATTGTGGGAATTCATTCAGAAATAGGAGGGGATCCTTACTGATGCCTGCTTCTGGAGGTGAATCTGGGCTAGGCAGGGCGGCTTTGGCTATTGGGACCGGGGTCTGGGATCGCCATTGTAAGATGTAGTATAAATATAAAATATAAGTTTCTAAATATACAATTCCTACTGTAGTTTCTACTACGTGGAAACCATATTTCCAGGAGGTGAGGTCGGGGGTGCTGTTTCACATGACTTTTTTTCCTGTGTATCCTGTGGAATCATTCTTCCAACAGCGCCTACTGTCACGGTTCAGCTTGGCTGCAGGAGCTGGTTTGTTTTCCCGCAGAGATGGTGTGATGCCAACAAGGGCGGGGGGCACAGATCTTTGCCCTGTTTTTCCGATGGAGGGGAAGTCCCCAGTGCTTTCGGACAGCAACGGTGGGGGGGAAATTAGGATTAAATTTGGATAAGGTGAGATGAAAATATTTTAACAATGTGGCAGAGACCTTCTAGTGTCAGCTGAGGCCAGGCTGATGACCCTCAGTAATAGTGTGGAATAGATTGCAGAGCCCGTGGGATAGCTGGGTAATTCTGTAACCTTTGACCTTATCTGGAGAGGTGATGTGGCATCAGGAGCTGAACAGTGTGGTCCTTCTGTCTTGTTGTTTCAGGGCAGTAATGTTATGGAGGATCAGGACCTGAAGGAGATAGGAATTTTGGACCAACATCACCGGAGGAAGATCCTGCAGGCAGCACGATCCCTTCCCAAGGTGCACAGCCTTCATGTGTCTGTGGGGGGTGGGGGGTGGGACGGCTACAAAACTACACTGGATTTGTGTTCGAGAAAGAGCAAGTCAAGTTCTAGGCACAGGGTGTGGTACAACAGTGGCTAAAGACTCTGTATTTGCCTGTTTTACCCTTAATGGAGAAAATGATTTTTTTTCATTGCTTTTCTCCCTGTTTGGAAAATCACCCATTGAAAAGAAGAAAAAAAAATCCTTTCTCCGACAGTCTTCTTGTGTAAGCAAGATTTACACTTGAAATTTTAAGTTTCTCTTAGCTTATTCTTATCCGCTATATATTTTGGGTGTCGGACAGGCAGTCATTTATCAGGTGCTTTTCATGGTACGAGCCAGAGGTGTGACAGAGCAGGTGTCCTCCATCGCAGGTGAAAGCCCTGGGCTGTGACGGCAGCACCTCCCTGGCCTCCTGGCTGGACGTCCTGGGCCTGCAGGAGTATCTCCAGAACTTCCTGGCCAGCGGCTACCGCACCATCGACAGTGTCAAGAACCTCTGGGAGCTGGAGATCGTCAACGTAAGTCCACAGCCGCGTGCGGAGGGCTTCTCGACGAAGACAGAAGAAGTCTAGTTCGATGCGTTGGAGTCAGGCAGCATGTGAGGGCATCGGGGCTGTCAAGCGGCTGATTCGGTAAAGATGCTTGCTAGAGAGCATGGGTTGAGCTCTCTGGTCATGGGTTCGAGTCTGGGCCGTGTCACTAGCTGACTGGGACTGGGATTCCCAGCAATGCCGCCAAGGGAATTGTGGGATCAGTCTGCCTGGCATCAGTTGGCTCTCAGCGAACCCCTCGGCCTCCTGGGTAATTTCAGGCATGCAGTGTCGTTGGTGAGGGATCTCCTCTCTTGAAAGCATGTTTTGACATGCCCGGCCAAGACATGAAAACCACATAGTTGTTTTCCCCTTGGCTCCCCCATCCCCTGTTGTACCATTACTTTGAGAAGGTGCTCACTCTGGAAAAGCACAATCTAAAGCTCGAATTGACTGAGAGGTTAGGGCAGAACTGGGCTGGGATACAGTTCTCAGTGCAGTAACAAACCAGGATCAGCCGAGACCTCAGGCTGTTCTTGGCCTTGTAGTGAACTCTCTCAAACATGAGGCAGGATTCGTATTCACATATCCCTTAGACCTTTCCAAATTTTTGTCAGCGACCTATGCTTAGCAAGTATCCTAAAGGAGATGCATGGTGGCCCTCTGTCCCGGTCCAAACTCTAAGGAAAGAGAATAGCTGTGTTTATGTACCAAGAAAACAACATTCAGTGCTGTAAGGTCAGTAACAAAAGCTGATGAACATAATGTCATGATGCAGTAAAGTTTAAGCTTGATGGCCTGTGATGCTCATCTCCTCTTTTTTCATCTGCGCCCAGGTGCTGAAGATCAACCTGCTGGGCCACCGCAAGCGGATCATCGCCTCGTTGGCCGAGCGGCCTTATGAGGAGCCACCCATCAAGCCCCCCCGCCTCTCCCAGATCAGGGTGAGTGACGCCCTCGAGACGCGCCAGCACCCTCCCCTCGGCCCTGGGGCCACGCTCTCCCTACTCCTGACCGGCACGGCGTGTCTGTGTGTCTCCCAGTGCCAGGACCTCGTGTCGCAGACCTCGTCGCCCCTCAGCCACGACTCCTACACGGGCCGCTCCACGGACATGCTCCTGGCCCCGGGGGATTCTGGGAAGCGCAGGACGGAGCACGAACATGATGTCCCGCACCGATCTCGGAGCGAGCGACATCATCGAAGCCACGTGAGTCACTTTGCTGGTTGCGGCGAGGGGTACACAAACATACAGCTGAAACCGGAAACTCCTGGTGTCCAACGGTTTTCCATAGCTCCTAGGGTCGAAAAAGAATTAGCTAACATCAGGCCTACTGCAGAACACCGGTCAGAGAATTGCAAAGCAGAATTTTCTCTTAATTCACTGGTAGTTTTCGTAACAGCATGAACAGGCCGATCGAGCTAGAGGCCAGACATGGGGAATCACAATAAAATGAGTCGTTTTCATCTGGATAGTTAAATAAAAAAATCCTGGAATGAAGGAAATGTTTTTTTTTTTACTTAGGAGGTTACTGGATAAAATCCTGACTCCACCAGAACTTAGCAAGTTAGTCTTCTTATGCTCTGTCCTTCAGATCAGCCCTGATTCAGATTTGACTATTACTTCTCTTCATGACAGCCAGCGTTCTAACTGAGGACTGAGTGTTTTTAGAAAAGAAGATTGCTGATACAAAATTGGAAAATCATACATTTTGCCCTTAAAACTCAAATAAACCTAGACAAAGCATTTGGATTTTCTGTTATGTATGTGGGTAATTGTACTTTTGGATGGATATATACTCTGCTAGGATTTATTTCAGCTGCCAGTAAGAAAACTATGACAAGAAAATGGTTTCCTAAAGACCCCCCCCCAACAGCAGAACAATTGATCAGTGTTGTGAAGGGAGATTTATAAAATGGAAAAGCTCACCTTTTCTCTTAGGTTACAAGCAGAAAGGTTTAGTAAATCCTGGTAGCCCTGGATTGAGTTTGTGGCCCCATTGAGACCTGATTTTGTTCTGTGAAAGAGCGCAAAGCAGTCTTTTGTTGGTTATTTGTTGTGTTTTTGCTGACTGTGTTTCTCTATATAACCTCCCATCTATACTGGCAGAATGTGGATAGTTAATTGTATAAAAAAACATAATGGAAAAATGAAAGATAAAAGCAGTAACATATCTGACTTTGTGTAAATCCTCTCATCTTTAAATGAAAAGTCTAAAAAAAGAGAAAAATTGCGAAATTGCGCGAGGTGCGTTCACCGTGAACGTCTCGCTCTTCCTGTCCACTCGGGCGTCAGCTTGGCTGTGTCTCCCCCCCTGCAGGACCGGCACGATGACCGCCCCCGGGAGCCGCGGCTCACCCTGCGCCCGCCCAGCCTGGCCACGCCCTACGCCCCCGTGCAGAACTGGCAGCACCAGCCCGAGAAGCTCATCTTCGAGTCCTGCGGCTACGAGGCCAGCGTGAGCACCACCCCCCCGTCTCGTTTCCACACCGCCCCGCGCCTCGGGGAGCTGCCCGGCCAGCCGCTGTTGCCTCTCTCTCATCGCCACTTCTCTTGGCCCGGAGGTCTTCTGGGCCGATCGAAGTCACATACCCTTTCCAAGAGCTCCCACAAGTCCATATGCCAAGCCGTTTTTGTCAGCTGCAGTTCATTGCTGCCCGTCATTCCTCTCTGGAGAAACCTAGAAAGGAAAGCCTTTTCTGGGGTTAAAAGAAAGGAATCACGTGGGCTAAGTGTGCCAGTCAGAGGGCAGTGCCTCACAAGGAGTGCTCATTTACTTCCAGACCCTCCAGGAGGTGTTTGGACCAGCTTGTTGGTGAACACCAGCGTTTTCCTGTGCTGAGAACAAAGCCTGGATTCTTCATTTACAGCAGCCTCTTTTATCTCCCTGTATCTGTACCTGAATGAGCTGTTCCGGCTAATCTAGCTGAACTTGCATGGCCATCTCCCAGAAATGAGTCCCAGACTCATTATTAATCGATTATTTGAGACCTCTATTTGGCAAACAGTGGGCTATATATTTGGGCCACTTTGGGCTATATCCTTCCTGACCGTTACAACTGTTCCTTAGCTGGTTCCTTAGCCGGCTGCTCGCGAGCGACCTCCTGTGGCAGCTGTCTGCAGGAATTGCTGGCTGTAACTGGTGTGAATTTATCATTCACTGCCCAGCTCACACGAACATCGGAGCAGTCGAGCAGGGTTAATTAACGCTTGCTCCTTCCAAAATTGGGGGTAATGAAGCAAATAGCAAAGAAAACACTTACCATTATCATCTCCTCTTTGAAAATAGGGGGTTTTGACAGCAAAATCCCTCTCTTGCTCTTTGTGTTATTGAAATTAAGATCCATATTTTGGCCAATCGAGCAGCCAATCCACAAGAAACAGTTAACAGGGCAGCCCTTCTGATCTCTGTCTTGCAGTACCTGGGATCGATGCTCATCAAAGAACTGAGGGGCACCGAGTCAACGCAGGATGCTTGTGCCAAAATGAGGGTAGGTGGCTTGAACACAGCGTGGAGAAATTCCAGTCTGCGTGCTACAGTTTCCCTCTTCCAAGGTTCATTGCAGTACAATTCAAAGACGAAGGGCTGTGAACAGTAAGGGTGTCCTGTAGGCCCTGTAGCCTCTCCATTGGCTCAGTCAGCTGAGATAATCAATTAAAAGATCAGACTGCAGAGGAGCCTTCATCAGCAGAGGTGATGAGGCCCAGGTGGTCTGAACACACACATCTCTCAGGCATTCATTCTCGTTCTCAAGAGGCCCTTTTTGTCTGTTCTAAACAGTTTCGGAGTTTCCGGAAGGCAGTCTGCTGTACTGACGCAGCTGGCGGATGTTAAAATTGGGGGAAAGGAAAAATCAATCACTTGGCAAATGCTTTAACAGATGTGCCTCCTTTCATCGTCGCGCGCTTCATGAATCTGGGCGTAGGGCTGCTGCCAGCAGCAAGCGACTCTGCAGAGAGAAGCCGTGAATAACACAGAGGGGAGTCTGCGTCTGCGCAGGAGGTTTCACAGCCCGTTCGGTCTGTGTGAACAAGCGTGGAGCTGGACGGACCCTGGGCGGCTTCCCACACCTGCCTGCGTGTGCTTTCACAGTCCTCCCTGGACCCGGGTGCTACTCACACCCTGCCCTGATGTCCAAGGAAATGGCTCCCATGAGTCTCTTTGCTTTCCCCTTCCCAGTATGTAGCCTTGGATCTGGGGGGCCCTCTTCATGCACCCCCCAACTTTCCATCTCCATCTTTCTCTCATGGTAACGTCAACCGCTGCCCTGTTTCCCCCCCCAGAGGTCGACGGAGCAGATGAAGAAAGTCCCCACCATCGTTCTGTCCATCACCTACAAGGGGGTAAAGTTCATCGATGCTGCCAACAAGGTGAGGAAGTGAAGGCTAGTGTTAAGAGTGGGCGGGTGAGAGGGGTGGGGGGGCAGGTTCAGCGCAGGACTTTTGCCCCATCAGCCAGGGCATCTTCTCCTGCGGCGCCTCCTCTGTGTCGCCCTTTCTGTTGCTCTTGTGTCGCTCGGCCCCTGCGAAGCGCAGACACCTGTGCGGAGCTGATAAACCTGCCCGGGCGCCGGCGGCACCAAGTATTGAGCCAGCCCTGGCCCCGATCTCACACTGCTTATCTGGGATGTATCAGTCCTCTGTGCGTTCGGAGGCCTGTTGCTTTATCTTTTCCCTCCCGAGATTAGATCACCGGAATTTAATTCGTTTGTTTGCTGTCTATCTCTCTCCCGTCTCAAAAAACCCCCCAAAAGGTCAGGTTTCTGACGGGCTTGTCAAGATTTGACAGGGTTGACCTTTCTCACAAAGGTGATAGAGAGAGGCTTCTGTTGTGCTGATTTTTCGTGCTGATGAACTTCTCCCCCGTTTCAAGGAGGAAAGAGTTTGCTTCTGCTTTTGAGTGATCCAGCTACAGAGCAGGCTTTTTGAAACGAGTCACTCAACTTCTTTTGTCAATGGGAGTTTAACTCCTTGGGTTACCAGTCTGGATACCCTGGCTGTGAATGGGCTTCAGGGCTGGACCTCTTAAGAGTCTGCATTCCAGGGAGAGTTAAGTGTGAGCCATGTTGTACTGTTCCCAGGAAAGTCAAGGGGGGAGAATCCAGCATCTTTTCAGGGATTTACAAACCCCTTACTCTCCAGTTTATATTCATAAAGCACTA